AAGATGTGGCAGGACATTGTGGGCCTCATGTCTTGCTTGACAGTCCCCCACCCCATACAGGGCTGGGGATGTGACCCTGTGGCAGAGCACACAGCGGTAGACTCCCTGAGCTCAGTCCTGGCATCAATTCCAAGGACTGATGAGAAAAATAAAAAAAAGTGTCCCGTTGTAAGCCTGCATGCCCATATCCCCCTTGCAGGCTCTGAACTCATTCTCCAGGTTCAAAACTCTTGCTGGGGGCTAGTCACCCCCAGGTTGAGAATCAGATTGCTTGCCATGGAAGTCAAAGCCCTAAGCATCAGATTCACCTCTTAGCTGTCCCTCAGCTGCTCCAGCTCTGTGTTTCACCTCTTCAGGGTGCAAAATGTGCTCTTCACCCCAGGGTCCTCCTGTGTGCATTCGCCTCTCTCTGGACTGTGCTGACTCCCTTTGTGTTACTCCTGCTGTGTTCTGTCTCAGCACAAGAGGGCTAAGCCAAGTCTGAGATCAAGAATCTGAGAGCTTTGATGCCCTTTGTGTCTCATGGTTCAATGTTCTGTTCCCATCACTCTTAGGGAAGTCTGATTTGTGTCACTGTTCTTCCCTACACTAAGCCATGAAGGCACTAACTATATTGTGATAGTTACCAAAATAATGAGGTGCTCGATAGACACCTCCTGATGAGAATATGCAAAGAGTCTCTAGTTAGTACCAGAAAGAAAACAGTCCTCCAAAGTAATTATCAAATTGAACTCAAATCAAGCCTTTGCATTTCATTGATTGCCTTAAGAATTCCATGACTTAAATCTTCTATTATCTCCTTGTCTTTGGACCCGAGTCATGGGACAAGTTAAGCTTGTGAACCTACAAATTCCCATACCTGTGAATTTGTTCAAAAGGAGACAAGGAACAGGGGTCAAGTAGTAGGTTTGTAAGTGGGGTCCCAGCCAGTAGCCTCCAAGAAAATCTACAAGTGTGTGGAACTTGCAGCAGATCCTCCTGTCTCCTACTAGTACTCCCCAAGGTGCTATGTCATTGTGGGCTGTGCAAACACATGAGTTTGCTGCTGCACTGCAGCCAGTGAGATGGCAGCCAGCAGGGCAGCAGTGAAGGGTTAGTGGGGAAGTAGGCAGAGTTGGGACAGAAGCTCAGAGGGGGAGCCCGCAAGCTCCTGGTGCTAGGCTGCTTGGCCAGGCCTCAGTAATCTTGTGACTATCCTTAACCTCCTGGTGCCTGGTTACCCCATCTATAGAATACCGTTGCTAATGACAGTACCAACTCTTTGAATTGATACAAGATTTCAATTTCCATAACACTCCTGGACCACAATGCCTTAAAATTTTCAGTTGTTACTATAGCTCTTGTGATTCTTATGTACTCTTTCGAGTCTTCAGGAAAGGCTGTCTGTATAGGAGTGTAAGCCTGGCAAATATTTAACACAGGGGCAGATATTGCAGGTAGTTGTGTGCATGCGTGTGTGTGTGTGTGTGTGTGTGTGTGTGTATGTAGAGGGTGTGCAGTATGAGAGCAATTTTGTCAAAGATGAGTACATGCACCAAGGCAGGGTTGAGGGCATGAAAGGATTAGAAGCTGTGGATGCACATTAAGATGAGCTGGAATTCTCTTTAAGAGTTCAAGCGTCTGGGTTTTACCTAGAGATGTTGAGATTTCCCAGGCTTCTGTAGCACTGCTTCCATCTGGGCGCTCCAACGTGCTACTAAGATTGAGGAGCTTCAAGAGAAGACATGGTTGTTCAGGGAATGTAGACAGTCTTCTCCAATGCCTGCACATCCTAAGGGTGTAAGCTGGCCTCGGTTCCTGTAGGCAACCTTCCATGGTCCCTCTGTGATGCTGGCTGTGTATGTTTTACTGTGTGGGTATATTACACTGATCTAAGTACACAGCAGCGATGGGACCAAGGCCTCCTCCAGGACTGCGTGTTTGTATTAGACTTCCTGAGCTCAGCGTGCTCTGTGGCACTCTTCTGGTGCTTTATAAATAGAGCCAGGGAGGAAGGGAGTGGGGAGAGATGCGTGGTGAGAGCCCCGGCGATGAGGCAGGCTGTGGGGTAGTGAGGGAAGTGGCTGAGCCTCCCTTGCAGTGACAGCCCTGGGCCAGGAGTCCCTGCTTGTTAGTGGGAGGAACCATCGCTGCTCTCCTGAGAAAGCGTTCTGCGCCTGTCAGCCGCACTTGCACAGGCTTCAGTGTTGAAGAGCATCGCAGAGTACTCTTGTGGCCTAATTAGAAGATGCTTTTTCAACCTTACAGAAGTCATTGCTGTGCTCAACTAGGAGGAAATAATTCTCAAGAAGATGCATTTAATGAATAGCTTCGCTTCTGTTCTCTTCCGTTCTTCCCTCCCCTTCCTTCCCTTCCTTTGGCCCCTCCCCTCCCTTAAACCCTGTCCTCTGCCTTCCCTCCCCTGCTCCCACCCCTGCCCTGCTCCTTTCTCTTCCCTCTGCCTCCCTCTTTTGCTCAGTTCAGAATCCATGCCGTGTTTAAGTACTATGGCCATAAGGAGGGCTGTGGGTGACAGAGTGAGAGGCAATGGTGCCTCCCATTGATGCCAAGTCACCTTGTTATTCAACAAAGAGTGACTGAGTTTGTACTGTTCACCAGCATCTGTACAGCACAATAGGAATACTGAGGGCCGAGGCTCCCAGTGGAAGGTGTTGCTGAGATCAAGGTAAGGACAGTCACTTTGGTGAGCAGCAGAGTTTTGGGACAGTAAGAAGAAACAAGCAAAAATAGAGCTTATTTTACTAGTTGTCTATTAAAGTGTACAGATAAAGTCTAGAGTGGTGAAGAGAAAAAAGGAAACTGGAAGGTGAGAGGAAGGTTCCCAGGAGAGGGTGGCGCCTAACCACAGGTCTGGTGGCAGTGAATAGCCAGGTCTGTGCAGGCTGTTGCAGGCTGGTGACTTTGGCTGGGACAGTGCAGTGTAGCCCAGCATAAGGGGGAGAAATGGTGCCAAGTATTGGTGCAGGTAACTGGCCCTCATTATTGAGGGGGCTGGCAAGAGAATCCAGGACTTGTGGTCCATCCCGAAAGCTCCATCCAGCATGTAGCTCTTTCAGAGTGACCCAGTTCCCTAAATCTTGGCCCACCCTCAGTCCTGCCCTTACTTCTCATCTCCTAACACTGACCATTGTGTGGCAGTGACCTTAGTGTGATTTTGAGAACTGATTTTACCTCTTGGAAGAAGCAGCTCAGAGATGCTGTGTTTGAAGCAAGCCTTGTGGCTGGAAGCCAGTCATTCATTACAGAGCACTGATCCCCCAAACTTAGGCGGCCTCACTATGGCCAGACTTCTCTCTTACTTCCTCTTTGAGATCTCATTCTGCCTAATTTTTCTCCATCTTCTATCAGCCTTTTCAGTGCAAGATGAGCAGAAAGAACCTCCAGGGTTTCAGGCACGTAGATTTCCCCATATATTGTTACATCCAAAGGCATTTATTTTCTTTGCATGTTCTTTGCATGTTCATTGAGGAATTGGATGCTCAGGACAAAGAAGAGAAAGAGCTATGGTTGAAATGGCCATGGTTGTGTGCCCCTGGTCCACCAGCATGGTAGGGAGCTCCACACTACTCTCATTTGTCACCCACATTTCTTGTCCAGGCTGAAGGAGCCTCCCTGCAGAGGACCCCGCTCTTAGCCATCTCTTTGTGTTTTTGTTCACACTAAATGTGTGTCCCAGACATTAGAGCTGCTCATTACAAGATTGTTGAGTAAGTAAGTGGGATGAATCCCAGGCTCAGACTCAGTGTTTCACAGCTGGCTCCCTCCCTTCCTCAGAGATGGAGTCTTCCTTCTCACCTCAGTGAGTTAAGTTACTCCCCAAAAGATGCTGGTCCCCAAGCTAATATTAGAAGGTTTTTCAGTTTTTGTTTTTCCCTGAAGCATCATCCAGAGGGACTCCAGGATTATGCCGGTTTGATAACTTTGAGTTGTAGTTAAGACAATCTACAATCCTCCTTAAATAATCAGGAGAGGTGGCAGGAAGACGGGGTGAGCCAATGCACTTCAGCATCGGCCTTGTAAAAAGCACCTAGCTACTTAGATCCTGTGAGGTTACACTGTCATCTCTCAAGAGATGTTAACAACCCCCGCTTGGGGGCAGAAATAGGACTTTGTCATAAAGTCCTTCAGTGGAATCTCAGCTAGCTATGACCTTGGGAATGCTGTTTACTCCACATCATTTGATTTCTCTGTGAAAGGTAGTGTTTAGTACTATTCAAGGAATTCAGTGGGAAATGTATATAAAATACCTAGCGCTTTACTGGAGAAATAACAGATATTTAAAAAGGGAGCTAGAATAGTAGGAAAACACTGACTTAAGAATTAGGGGGCCAGGGACTGGGAGATAGCTCAGTAGAGTAAGCACTTGCCTGACAAGCACAAGGGCCTGAGTTCAATCCACCGTACCACGAAAAAAAAAAAAAAAAAAAAAAGAATTAGGGGGCTAGATTCTGGCGTAAGGATCTTCAGTGCTGGGTGGCTTTGGGGGAGGATGTGACAGTTGTTTCCACCTGGGGGAGAAGTGAGAGGTCATGGAGGAGCTGCCCTTAGATTTGGGCCTTGCCAGGTAAGTAAACCTGCTTTAGTGATGATTACATTACAGAGACATGCTAGAGAGGCTGCAAAGGCTGGCACTGTACACAAAAGGAGAGTGAAAGTGTCAAAAGTATTATATATTTCTGCAAATTGAGAAACAGTGAATTAAAGCACCTGCTTAGGCAGATGCAGGAGCTGGAGTTCGATCCCCAGCATGCTGTGACAGCCCCACCCCTGGGGCGTGCTAAGATGCCTATTGAGACTGGGCGTGGTGGCACATGCCTGTAATCTCAGCACTTCTTGGGAGGCTGGAAACAAGAGGATCACTACGAGTATGATCTGTGTAGTGAGACCCTGTAGACCCTGTATTAAGCAACCAACCAACCAAACAAACAAACAAACAAACAAACACACATGGAGGAAGTGCTGCCATTCTTAAAGGACTATTGTCCTTGTTGCCTTGCCAGATGCTGAACAACCCAGAGAAGATAGCAGAGCAGATCAGCAAGGACCTGGCCTGGCTGGCCTCCCATCTCATGGCCCTCTGGACCCAGTTCCTGGACACGGTGACACTCCACTCCCAAGTGACCACTTATCTGACCCAGGAGCACCACAACCTGAGGGTAAATTGTCTAATAGTAGAAATGCCCTAATTGTGTGCCTTCAGTTTCTGGGGTAAGTCTTACCAAGGAGTTAGTGCACTGAGTAGAATAAGCACCGAGGTTGCCCCAATCTATAGATGAACGAGTGTCTGTTCTGGGTCTTTCAGGAACATATGGCGCGATACCATGAACTCCCTTCTCCTCTTAGACCTCCACTGCCGTTCTTAGTATAGCCCCCTTGCCTTTCTCTGGTGATGGCGAGCTTATCACAATGGATGATTCTATAAAGTACTTGAAGAGCTGGAGATATCACTCCCTACTAGAGCACTTGCCTGTCATAGGCAAGGCCTCAGGCTTAGCCCAAAGTGCCACAGCAAATAAATGAAAAATTAAAAATATGTTTGAATAAAATTCAAATGCATTCCATTTCTCTTAGTCTGTGTTTGTCGCTAACTCGGCTGCCTGTGGGGAAGTGGGAATGAGAACTCAGCAGTGCTGGTTTTCCCACTTAGAGAAGCAAGAGGAGCAAAGAACTGGAGACCATCTTTCACAGAGTTGTTAGCAAACACACTTCCGGTTGGCTTTGGAAATTCTGTTTATTCTATGTGGATATATAGTGGCTACTTATAAGGTTCTTAGATTCTATTAAAAGAAATAAAACCTAGATTAAAAATGATAAAAGTAATGTACAAATGGATGCAGACATGCCCAAAACCTCTATATAATCTCAAGCGAAACACAGAACCCTGAAGGAGGAAGGCAACTGTGGAAGAGGTGAAAGCCTGTTATTTTAGACCTCTAGGAATAGGCAGGCTTTTCCTACTGTTTGTATATAGCACTTGTCTCCTCAGCTTCCAATTTTAAAAAAGTGGTGTTCATATCCACAGTCTAGTCCCTGTCCTATCACAGGTACACAAATACCCAACATCCACAACTTAAAAGAGGTGAGCTCTGTGTTGGCTCATGGGCTTTTAGTGCATAGTTGCCTTGATCTGAGGCACAAATTGCATGGGGAAGGAACTGAACTGGTGGACAAGTACTACGGACACCACAGCAGCCAGGAAAGAGAAAAAGAGAGATGAGGGGACAATGACACCTTCTTCCATCTCAGCCCCCCAGAACCCCCTCCAGCCAGGTCCCACCTTCTTACAGTACATTCAGCAAATAAACCATTCAGTGGATGAATCTACTAGTAAACACAGCACCCTGGAGATTCAGTCTCCCTCCAAACACGTGACACCTTGGGGTGGCCTGGGCTGGTAATGGTGGATTTGAGCCCTAACCCATAATATCCGTGTACAAATTAAACTGTTTACATTGTTTCATTTCTCAGGTCCGAAGGTTTTCTGAGGCCTTCTTTTATATGGAGCACCAAAAGCTTGCGATCTTAACCTTTCAAGAGAATTTGTAAGTAATCATTGCATGCACACTGCATCGTGTATGTTAGCTAGCAGCCATGTTCCACTCATTCCCTTTCTTCTGAGATCTCTTTCGTGTTACCTCTGGCCATTCCATCCACATTTCCTGTGCAGGGTGAAGGAGGCAGACTGCCACAGAGCAGGAGGAGCAGCTGGCAGAGAAAGTCAACAGCCAGGGGTTTACTTTGTTGAGCATCATTATGGTTGTATGGAAAGCACCAAGAATTCCTAGGGCACAGAAGACATCTGTGTTGAGTCCTCTCCAAACTGCACTAGAAGTGGGTAGTGTGGCTATGAACTTTGTTAGCATAAGACAGCTTGAGCTGCAGTAGCTTATTCATTTATTTTATCTATTTATTTATTTTAATGTATTTAGTACAGGGTCTACAGGGTCTTACTACATGAATCGGACTCATGGTGATTCTCCTGTTTTCAGCTTCCCAAGTGATGGGATTACAGGCACGCACCACCACTCCCAGTCTCAGTCACCTTCTCAGCGCGCCCCAGGAGTGGGGCTGACACAGCACGGTGGGGATCGAACCCTGGCTGCTGCACTCTGCCTAAGCAGGTGCTTTAGTCTACTGAGCTATCTACCTGGCCCAGGCTGCAGTAGCTTAGAAAAATGACTTTAGCATAATAATTAAGGCCAAGCTCCATAATTTAGAGGACTGATGAATTTCCATGTTTGCCTTCTTCCAAAAAAGATTGAAAAGCTCAAGACAGTTAGAGATTTGAGTGAGATGAGCTCACCCCTTTTCACAGATTCCCTGGGTTTCCTCCAAGAATCTTTTCATCATTCTTACACAAACACAAGGGTATCTTTGTATTTGTGAACTATATTTTCATCTCGAAACAAAACCAAAAACAGAGGTAGGTGAGTCATGCTTGCGATGCATAGCAAATACCCAGGAGAGCTGCCTGGCATGCATACTTTACAGAATCCCTGCCCAGAGGCCTTTTGTGTCCACCTATATAACCCAACTTGCCCTCAGTCTTTATGTTATTTAAAAAGTACAGTGACATTTGCAGTTTGTCTTGTGGGTTCTGAAAGTGATTGTGGCAGCAAGGAAAACGCATCTGCCTGTTCAACTCTCTTGTCTCGAGATGGCTAGAGGCTTTCACTCCCTCATTTATGCACTCATTCATCTATTCCAGCCTCCAGCCAGAACTGGCTGAATATACTCTCTAAAATTAACATCAGAAGAGCTTATCTGACAAATACAAGTATAACTCTGAGGACTGCTGGGTCTCTTGCAAAATATTGCAAGTTTGGACCACTTAAGAAAGTGCTTTCTCAGAGTTGCCACAAGGATAGGTTAACCTTGGACAGTTGAGTAACAGTTCTGTTCTTGAGAGACATGCCCAGGTAGAGATGACAGACTCTAAAGCTCCTGCTTTCTCTGAAGAGCTTCGTACCAGTGCCAAGCCTCTGTGCTGAGCACATGTGATCCAGCACTCAGGGGACCTTGCTCAATCCTGCCACCCCATGATACGCATGGGGTCCTCAGAGCTCTTTTCCTGTAGTTCTTTTCACCCCAATCTCACATAGTCATAAGTTTCTTTGCTTATCACATGGATAAAGTAAAAGTTGAGTGGGAAAAAAATGAGGGTGCCTATGTGCGTGGAACCTGTACTATAAGCTACAAACTGCTCAGATGTTAGGTGACAATTAATGGCGAATATTGATTGTCTCCATCAGACAGTGTGAATATAACAGGGACCAAACTAATGAATGTTATATGGGTCAGTCTTATAATAGACAAAAAAGTAAGACATACATTTGTCATTTCTGGTAGTGACAAGAGAAGAAAAATGAAGCATAGTAAGGACTTGGAAAATTATGATGAGCAGGATATGGCCAGCTCTCTCATAAATATTTGACAGACAGCTCTCAGATGGCCAGAACCAAAGTGCTCTGTGGTGTGCACTGATTTCTGCTACGTAGTGATTCTCCTGTTTTCTTGCCTACAACAGTCAAGTTTAGTTTGCTCATAGGTTATCTCTCCATCCGAAGCGGGGAAGAGAGGCAGGCACACCATTGGCTTTTCTGAGGCAATGTGTACTGCGCCCAGGGCAGTGCTGGGGTGTGGGCAAGGACTACTAGACTTAGTGGAGGCAGACGCCTGGAAAGAGCGACATTTGAACACAGTCTGGGGTAGAGTGAGTGAACCGTGTCATGGCAGAGGGTTGCTTAGGCTGCTGTGAAGGCTATGGTATGGAGACGTAGCATATCTGAAAAACAGCGAGAAGCCAAGCCTGCTTAGACTGGAATGAGAAAGTAGGAAAAGGGGAAGGAGGGAGAAGATACTGGGGCAGGAGGGGCTAAGCCATGTGGCTTCTGGACCAGGGAAGTCGTTCTGCCTTGGAGAATGTCAGTTAATTCCTTTTGACCTACACATGAATTGGGAGCACAGCATTTAAAAGATCATATACGTTCTTTGACATCTTGATCCTGTAACTTTTAATACTTCTGATATCAAACATGTTACTTGATTACTTTGACTGTAAAAGAGAGATGCTTTGATTCATTAAATATCAGTTCAGTGTCTAGTACATCTCAGACACTGCTATAAGTTTTAAATATTTCATAGTGAACCAAAAAGACAAACTCCTTTTCTCATTGGTCTTACACTTTGGTGGAAGAGACATCAAAATAAACAGAAACGGACATGAGTTCTGTGGAAAAATATAATCTATATCTATATCTATATCTTTATGTATCTGAGTGTAAGAGGAATAGATGCTGTTACTTCAAGGAGTTGTTAAAGGCTCAATGGGACAGTGACAGTCCAGCATAGGCATGAATCAGATGCAGATCCTGAGCCCTGCTGATCCCTAGGAGACTATTTGTATTTATACTATGGATTAATTTTAAAGATTAAAGAGACCCTTCAAATGCTTGTGGTGAGGGAAACAAGGGCTGGCCATGGAGCTCGCAGGAGGCTGGGACTGCAGGAGGGACATACCTAGGTAATGAAGCTCAGCCAGCACAGCAGGGCCTCTGCTCAGCGGCTCCAAAAAGCAACAGTGGTGTCATCACTCAAGGACCTACCTTACCAAAGATCACAGCTCTTGGGTGAGGTTTCTTGGAAGGCTACAAAGCAGACAGATCCTACACAACTAACAATTTGTTTTGGAGGGTTTAAAAAATAACTAGAGGGGCCACAGAGATGGTTCAGTGTAATATGTAATATGCGCTTCCCTGGCAAGCGCAAGGGCCTGAGTTCAATCCCCGGTTCTGCAAAATAAAATAAAATAAAATAAAATTTAAAAAATAAATAAAAAATAACTAGAACTGTGGACCACACAAAACGCTATGTACACAATTTTTTTCCTGTAGATACTTATCTACAATAAGCCTACAATACATAAAACTTGGTAAAAATTTAGCAATAATGTAATAAAATTGAATAATTGTAACATTATTCATAATAAAGCTGAGCATAAAATTTTAAAAAAAGATTAAAGATGCTTAAGTATTCAGTTAGTATCAGTAACATATAAAATAAAGACTGAAATGGAAAAGCTACTATTTGAGAGGAAGTGGACTTTTGCTATCAAAAATAAGGTTTATAGAATCTGGAGGAGTAGTTCAGTTCACACAGAGAAGATTCCTAGAGGGAAGACACCAAGTACCACATGTAGCTGTGGGACTGTGGTGGAGATGGCAGAGGAGTGGCCGTGTGTGAGCAGCGCAGGGCCCACAGGAGAACAGCAAGGACACGGCCTCTGGGAGGCTGTCTGGTCCCTGTTTGGGGCAGAGCCATGCTGCGGACTCTGGATGGACAAGCACCAATTCAAGGTGGCACCAGGGAGTGCCGTCTGTCAGGATTCGTTTTGTTCAAGCTTAAACTTGACTGTACTTCTCAAACAATAGTTCAGCACCACTTAGTGGGCTGTGAAATTAGCTCACTGACATTGGAACCACACCGGCTGAGTGAGCGGGATAGGCCAGGCCGGGCCATGCAAAGAGGAAGACTTCGGAGACGTAGGAAGGGTCTGCTGAAATGCCCTCCCAGGTGTGTTTCTGGGACCTTGCGACGGCCATGGAAATGAAGGCTACTTCTTGCCATAAGTTGTCATTTTCACAGCATGCCAAAAAATGGTTTAAATTGGCTTAAGATGCGAGCCTGTAATCCTAGCACTCGGACAGGGGCCGGGGAGATGGCTCAGTAGAATAAGTGCTTCCCTGGCAAGTGCAAGGGCATGAGTTCAATCCCCAGTTCAGGGGGAAGGAAGGAA